TTATTTCGAAGTGCTCTCTTTGTGCCGCTCTTCCCGGGCAAAAATGAAGTTGACCAAGTGAATAAAATTCACAAGGTAAGTGCTAGTACTTGTTGGAGGGGGAAGAGCATCATCCGTATGGCGATCGCTTATATCGTGTTTTGTATCAACTGTCTCGAAGTTGATCACCTCACTCGAAGGTCATGGGCTTACCCGCGGAAGACTTACTGAAGTATTTCAAGAGGTCCTCCAAATCGAAGGGTGGCAGAGGGAACAGATCCTTGAGGTTTATGGCAAGAAAGTGTCCACGAAGGAGCCGCAGCAGAAGTAGCGAACAGATGGAAAGCAATTCGGTGTTATGGTCACGGACAGGTGAAATCGACTTGTGGTTACGAAAATGCAAAGTGTCCGATGAGGCTATAGAGACCATCAAAGTGCTGCTGACCTACGATGCCGAGCAAAGGCCTACAGCGACTGAGGTGATCCTGTTGTTGACTTTTATATTATGAGCATTTTGCTGTAGGCACTCAGACTGCCATATTTCGACTCTCACCGTTATGCAGTGCCGGGTATTCGATCGTGGATTTCCGTAGTGTCAAGCTGTTGCAGGTATGACCACGTCTACATGTTCCACTAATACGGTGCGATCCCCATCTCCCTTTCTCGACACCACAGAGAGAAGTAACGGGAAAGTCAGTGCCGTTGTAGGAGTATCCTCTTCGTAGATGACACTGAAATGCCTTCGAAAGGAAAAGTGCCGAGCTCGGATTTTATACAGGATAGCAATATGTCGGAGACCTCAGGAAGCACGGCTCGTTACCAACCTCAAATGGGGTATGATGATCTACCAATCTCTGTGATAGTATGTCTTTGTTAGGCCTGAAGCTCATCGTGGATATGATCAACGAGATCATGCCACCATCGGGGGTCGATTGATGCGCGAAAACGATCGCTTGTTGGTTGAGGCGGACGCAACTGTGATGAGCGGATTTGGGAGACAAAATGGTATGCGAATGGAGCAGATCTCGGAGACGACTCGGTTACCACCAATACCACAACGGCAGCCTCAAGAGGTCGGTCCTGCTAGGTGCTGTTTTTTAAGTATTAACCCGCTTACTTTCAGAGTGGGCATTCAAGAGCAATGGGGATTGGCGTTGACGCCAGTCCTTATCAGCAGCGACATCACCGAAGGAGCAATCGAGTGTAGGATTGGATCTCTCATCTCGTTACATGTTTATGGCAGATACCATAGAACTTTGCGTATTGCATCCGGTAGAACTCAGATGCCAGCGTTGGAGCTCTCGAATAGTAGTCCGAGAGGAACCAATCAGCAAGGCTCGGCGGCCTCGTTCAGCCATACGATGGGGCACTTCGCTCTACCATTGTCGGAAAGGATGAGGAATATTGTCCGCGCGGGGTTTTCATAACTTGTCTGTTGCCGTATCGTATCGTTGATACACTTACCGTTGTTGTACCATTGGCTTCAGCCTATTGTTGGTTCACGATCATGCAGTTGTTGGTCATGAATGTACTCCGCTGTTGCGTTGAGAATTATCACCATCGCAGACCCGTGAGAATTGGGGATGCACCCGCGAAGTGTGTAACAATAGTGAGATGCACATTTCACATCTCACTGCGCGAAATTCCCATCAACTCCACGAACTCCGCGTAGAACTTCACTCCATGGTGTAATGCACGAAGTAATAACGCGTCGATAATGTATCCTTTTATTGGTGAGTCAGCCTTCGGCCTTTCGCCCGACAGGCTCGATTCTACCAGATGTTGCCATTATGTAACACTCACCAGACTTCAACTCGATTTTTTCTCATAGAAACAGACTACTGTATTTTTAGCACATCTGACGGCTTGCTCCAAGTCCAGATCACTCGTTATGAAGAAAATCTAAATTATCAAGGATACGACATGCGCCGTAACTTATCAGGAAACCGAATAATTTTTCAGCAATGCTGTTTACATGTGTAGCGAAGAATGGGTTCTACAGTTCGCATTTCACGAACTCCGACTTCCACTGGTGGTTTCTCGCATAGTGTGAAATCTATTTGTTTCCTTTTAGCATTGTTAACAACAGTATCTGCCATTTCTGGGCTATAGACTATCTTCTTAAGAGTGAATGATTGGAGATTCAACGCTCGGTCGACAGTCGAGTGATTCGACTCGAGTCACAGACCTATGATAATCGAACAAGTACGTGTACATTCTTCGCGGACTTTTCGAACACCGAATGTTCGGCCACAGTTTTCACTTACTGAGAATTGTGGCATACATGGCCTCCTCCGAGGTTGAAGTCGTTTCTCAGCTGAAGGTGCATACCCTTCAACAGGACTTGCGGATTCCTCCCAAGCACAGCTATAAAAGCCTCCTGGTGAGCTTGCCCAGAGCAAGTTGTTCCATCCTGGAGCATCGCAATCCGAGAATTTCTAGTCGCCGTCTCCGCGTCACCCGACGGATGGCATTGTGTCATTGACACGAGACGAGACGTGACCGCCTAGCTGAGGCACTTGCTGCGTATACGGCATGCTTGTGAGCTTGCTAGCTGAGCTGGGTCAACTCCAGAATCTGGCGACAACACTTCTTCTGAAATTTATAATTATGAACCTGGAAAATAAACGATTAGCATTTCATCAGGCCACAACAGCTTCAATCTTGAATTCCACTTTCGCTGTGAGATAGAGCACCAGCCAGGATGTCCGATGCGTCGTATGAGAGTCACAACTCACTAGTCTTTCAGTGATAAGCTCTCACGGTTGTATCTACTCTTCCATCGGCGAGGGTGTCCATCCTTGCCATATATTTGTCGATGAGTGCCAATGATCTGTCCGACATGAAGTTGTGACAGCTTAGTCTTCGAACTCAGTTGAATTGATAACCGCTTTAATGCATCGAGTAGCAGCATCAAAAACGCCGGAGGTCTATGAGAGGAGAATTTTCCCATTTGGTGTTTCCCCGACATCCTCCGCCCGAACTTCCAGCACCCACTCGAGCAGTAAGGAGACGTTTATATTCTCGAAGTGCCCCTTGAGCTTACAGTGCTGAATGCCTTCAGGTCGGCATAGCCTCAGTCGATCAGCTTCCGCTCAAATCCACACTACGAGGAAAGGAGCTGTCCAGTTAGTGGGAAAACCTCGAATCACAACCGGAGGTCACATACAGTGCGTTTCCCCTTATAATCAGCCAATACGGAATCGACATATGGTCTTTTATGTGGAATCAATCGTTGATCTTACACACACAAAGCGTCTCAACTCGTGTGCTCTCTCAGGGTGGGAATTGACTATCCCTGGACCGGCGAGTGGATTCGCTCTTGGTGGTCGAGTTCGGAACTACTCAGGACACTGCTATGGAGAAGGAAAGGAGTAGAACCGTGAATATGTAGATACGCCTTAGTCGCTGCTTAGATATGGTCATTGGTGCGCTGCAAATGATATGCACCCACTCATTGCGCAAAGCCAACTGGGAAGCTGGAGTTTGTCGAATAGAGAATATGGAAGCCACTATTATCATCAACAACAACGGTGGGAACCTTACTCTGATGCCAGAGTGTCCTGCTATCATGTAGGTATAAAGTGAGACGGAATCTCCGTTGGCCGAATCTGTTGGTATCGAGTCGAAGCCAACTCGACAGGTTCCGAGCCGATACAAATCTCATGTTTGACTAATGCTACCAAACGTTTGTTGTGTATGGAGTTGAACGGCCCTTCTATGCTGGGCTTGGACCGCACTCCTGTATCAAGAGTTCTGCCATCTTCATGGACTTGGCCGCCATTTTCAACCTATGGATTCCCTTAAGAATCAACCACACATCACCAAATTCAGAAAGTGGCGAGATCCCGGGGGGCGCAGCGAGAAAGTCGCCACAGCGCGAAAGTTGGTAGAAACCGCTCCTAGTCATGCAATCAATTGACAGCTGGCACTAATAGTGGTAATTTAGAATGTAGGGTGTATTGGGAAAGTTGATGTCTTCGAGCGGCTCAGTTTTTCTCTGCAATACACTCGCAGAGCGATGCGTTGGCCGTTAGTCCCATTGGAAGTTCAACTCCAATGTTTGTAATATGAAGGGTAGCAGTTTAAGTCCTAATCGCGAGGCTTAGTATCAACTTCCAAGATTAACCACAAATGCTCCTCTCTCAGTGAGTGGGCTTAGGAAAGTCCCCATAAATTCAGTGATAAATCATCCCAGCACCTCTAAGGCCGAATTTGCAACAGTCGTGAAGGGAGCATGCACAGCATTCAGGAAGTTAGAGTCGATGAGGCACTATTCCGCTTCTTATGGGTAGAGCCTCAGATCTGGTACGGTCTGAAGCAGTTGTTGTCATGCCGTGATAGTTAGGATGACGGCTTTTCTGGGATAGTGAGAATTCAAGATGGACAGTACCCACCTGTCTTTACGTAGTATAAATTTTTCGAGCGAATAGTGATTTTCCCACTCGTTTCTAATGTCTGTTGTTGAGAAGACCGCCACTGTAGAGGAAAAGACCAAAGAAGAGAAGGATGAGAAGTCGATGAGTTTGGGGGATCTGTTGGATGAGGTAAGCAAAGTTGTACATAAATGCATTAGCGTAATATGTTAGGTACTCGGTATCAACGGTGCGGAAGACCTTCTCAAATTTATACGGCGAATCGTCGGAGCTCTCGTCGTCGTAATAAGGGGAGGGTATTCTCTTTCGTGCCTTCTGGTCAATCTGATACCACTGTGGTAGCTGAAATTCAGGAGGAATCTATCTCAATGTCAATTCTTGATCGCTTCAACGGCTTATCCGGATTGCTCCCTTCCCCCCCATTATACGCTGTCTCTTTCAGCTCTGCCTCATATACCTGTGGTACCTTCCCACGTTCGAGTTAGCCTTCAATCTCGTGCTTGGCTTTATTGTGCTGCTAATCGGCTTAGTGGTAGTACATAACGAATGGTCTCGGATATACTTGTCATTTTCCATTCAGGCGGTGGCCTCTTGGACGGTAAGTGAGGCTCAACGAATCGAAGCGGAGCAGAAGAAGGCTAAGGAGTTGGCTGAGCAGAAGGACGAGGCCGAGACTTCCAAAGATACTCGCTCGAACACTGATGAAACTAAAAAGGAGCGATAGGCTTCCATTCGGAAATACTTTACAACAAAGTTTCTACTGTCAAGGGCATACCAGTCAGTAGTGTTGAGTTTATAGACACAGAGGTTGATTAGCTCGCAAGTAACCGAGGTTCACTGAGGTGTGGTATGTGGGTTGTCCATAACATCCATGGTGACGAGGCGTAGGGAGCGGCTGGTATCCTTAGTTTTGGAAAAATGTATTTTACAGCAAGTGTCGCCAAAACCTCATGGAGTGGACATACTCAAGTCATGTCGCTATAGATTTAATGTTACGGGAAATGGCTTTACATAAATCAATTCCTCTCTGATGTGAGGTTGAAACGATTATCTTCCTCCGTGTCACCATCAGCGTTACGTAACTAGGATAACAATGCAAGTTTTGATGCTTGACAGATTCTGGTGGATGAATACTCGAACGATAACGGTTGTGTCCGTGACGAGGAGGATCCTTCAACACGTATATTTGTTGGTTGATTACAGATGACATTCTGTCCAGTTGAGTTCTGTCCGGTGAGGTATGCCTTAACAAGGAAGTTACTCAGTACGAAACAACGCGCTTCAAAATTGCAACACAACGCTATATTAGGTCTGGTCCGTAGTGCAGCCTATGTAAGTCTATAGTGAATGTCTAGGCTTGAGTGGTTCATAACCAGTATCGATTATGCTGAGCCACATTGACTCGATCGGAGCAGATCATGTTACCGCAGTAGTGCGTGGCATAAATCGATATTGTTCAAGACTATTCGTCAAGCTTTGTGTCTTCCCCCATAAGACGCATATGCTCTTCTACTGCCCATAGTGGTGTTAGGGAAGTACAACAGCTGTCACCATATTCTTCCGACTAGGCATTCACAATGGACCAGTTGGATCAAGGGAGGCAACTCAGCTCCGTCAGGAATTTGCCAGGGCGAATATTGACATTTTATCACACGTGCCTAGTTTCATGGTTCACACTTTCACCATTTATCATAGACCAACCGCAATACTGCATCCTCAGGTTGCTTCTCAGTACGTAAACGATCAACTGGTAGAGGTGGCGGTAAACAATTCAATAATGCAATTTATTTTCTGGAATATTACAGATCGATCGTCGAGCATTTCTATCTCTGGGTTGTCTTTCCCAACTAAATCAACACAACTCACCACTATCCAGGGTTTGACCCTATGAAACTTCCAGCTTGAGAATGACCACAGGTAAAATAACTTCTTCCTTTATTTGCTAATCCTTACGATGTTGGTGTGAAAAAAAGTCCAACACATGGTTGGTGATAAATAGACTCTACAAGTCCTCTTCCGTAACGTCGTCTTTCTTTTCATCCGACTCGTCCTCCTCATCTTCGACTGACTCTTCCGCCGCCTCATCCTCTTTCTTCTCCGCCGCCTGCTTTTCCTTCTAAAAACGACCACGAATCAACACATCTTTCAATGACGCCACAGTGTAGCGTACCTCTTCCTTCGCCTTAGCCTCCTCGACAGCCCTCAACTCTTTGAACTCTTCTATCAAGACGTCCGCCTCCTTCGGGTCGTCAGTGATGATGATATTATCGAAAATTGCACCAGAGTTGACCTAAGCAGTCAAATACCAGGGCGACTCCAATGATTTTCTCCCTTACTTGCCATACGTCGAGAGCAACAGTACCAAAATCAAACTTGTGCATCTTCTCTACAGCGACGTACTTCGGGTTAGGTATCTTCTTAGGCTTCCATTCCCCCTACAAATAAACTCCCAGACACAGTACACCTCGAGCTTCTACTTTATAGTCAGGGTTGGCTATTTGCTTGGGCATCCAAGGCCCCTTATAGTCCGGATTGTCGATCATAGGTCGCTCCCACTCGCCATCCTAACACACGACGACGACTACTCCAACGATCTCCTCACAAATCCTTTGTACTTCCTCTTCGTCCCAATCCTCAGGCTGGGTAGCCTTCTCATCAGGAATCTTCGCTTCTTCCACCCAGTCTTCGGGCTTCTTATCCTCCGGATCGTCCATCATCGGTGTGTCGACCTGCACACGCAACCATCCCTTATGGACCTACCAGAGGATCGCTCTCACCCAATCGTCAGGCTTGGAGTCTTCAGGATCGTCAATCTCCTTGGGTTCGGTAAATTGCCAATTCTCCTCAATAGAGCCGTCGAAGACCTCGTCGCCGTCAATTTCGACTCTCACAGTGTCGTTGGGACGAAGTACAAGTCTGTACACGTGCGAAAGCGTATCCTGCTGTTTATACGGCAAGTCCTCCGTCTTCAGTATGTTGTCTTTGCTGTTATTGAAAATGAGGTGTGTACGACTATTAAAGCCACACTTGTCGGGGCCGAACATAATGTTGTATCTGAACACTTCACGTGGCACCCCACCACCACCCAGCAGCAGCAGCACAGGTCGACCTACACTGAGTCGCTGTTGAAGGCTGAGAGGTTCTCCATCTTCGGGGCGAACTTCAAATAACCTCCACCACAATCCATAGACTTCTCGTATTTGAGCTGAAAATTAAGGAATCTTGGGTGAATCAATGTGAGTAACCTTGGACTCTACTTGATACTGGAAGATAACCTCCTTGTCTTCACTCGAGAAGGGCTCGTCCAACTCTCTAATGTAAGCGTAATAACGATGGTCTTCAGCGGTTTCTGAGGGGAAACACTACGCAAGCTATACGATGATAGATTAACCTACTGAGGCCTCTGTTCTTCTTCTCATCAGCGAAAACCTCCCCAGCGGTGTGCTCAACTTTCCCATGGAGATCTTCCCCCTTCCAGTGAGAGGCTGTCCAACGCTCTTCCCAACCTGAGCAAGGTGAATGTGACAACAGGAGGAGGAGGAGGGGGGACGGACCGTCAGGGAAGGTTTCCTTGAGGAATACGGTGGCGACGGCGGGGAGGGCTAAACCCAATTGAACGACAAGTCGCATGAAAACTTTTGCTAAAAACTGCCCAACACGACCGAGACTCGGATGGCTGCAATCCCAACCCGAAGCGAAGAGAAAGCGATCGAGCTGATGCCGCACGAGCCATGAATGAAAACTCGGTACACGTCCTCACACCCATGAACTTGAGCACGCGTGCAACACCCCTTTCCGCGCGCGGCGTGTACGTTTTCTTGGGCGCGCGCCGGGGGTTTCGGCGCATCTTCTCTTGTGCGCTGCCGGAACAGTGACAAGCGGACAGGTCGGGCGTCACGGGTGAGAAGGGACGCTCGTAGAGTGCGAAAATATATATGTTTGGTCTTCTCAGCTGAACTTGGGATTACACTTCACTACACTATCGAACTCAAAGTGTGCAGAAACCAACGACAGTTGCCTGAAATTTCTGTCTTGTCATCAACACATGCAGTTGATCATGTGAATATCTTCCCACACTCCATATCTTGCCATTACCAAACCGTTACCTCTGGTGAGTCCCCCCTGCCCACATGCACTCGCGTGCTACCTGTTATCGGATATATCTCTACCAGATTGTGTCTGTAAGGACACTATTCTATGCTACATATTCATCATCCTCTTGGAAGTAACTCATCAATTCCCCTCATGTCGGATCCATTACCAAACCGTTACCTCGGTTGGGTTCCCTCTGACCACATGTACTCGCGTGCTACCTATTATCGCGTCCATCTCCGACAGATTGTGTCAACATTATTCCTTGCTACATATTCATCATCTTTTTCGAAGTGAATCATCAATTCCCCTCATGTCGGATTACTCCGTTTCACCCAACCTTAACATCATCGTTACATTCAGCGTCCTCTATACATTCACCACCCGAGATCTCAGGCTTAACTCTCTATATCGACCGCTACCTCCGCTACGAGCGTGCTTCGTACTACTAAAAACTTTCGTGCCGTATTATCAACGATGGTGGCCGAGTCCTTGCATGATGTTCCATTTCATGGAAAGAGAATCACTTCGCTCCGCTCATTGAGTTTGCGTACGGACGTAGCTCAGTCTTCATAAGAAGCTTTACGGCTTTCATCACTTCGACACTTGTTGAGTGCGAAGTCTACTACGACTTTCCTCTACGAAGGAACATCATGACTATACTTGTTTCACCCAATAGGTCCTTGCAGTTTCCCAACAACTACATTAGATATAACCCAACAACGTGAGGACCACAACAACTATGAATTAGAGTGATGGCAGTGGGAGAAGCCCCTTGCCGTTGGGCGAAGTTGCATGTGGATGCGTCAAGTTTAGATATTTATATAGTTTATATGCCAACTTATGAGGATCATCTTTTCTACACTGGTGAGGCGGTCTCGTGAACCTGAACACTTTTATGCTACCATCACAGCCTCAAATATTTTTACAAGTGAGAAAATATGCACACGGTCAAGTACGGTTGTTGGTGACTGCGGAAATTTTAGACAATTCTCATTGCCCGAATTCGTATATCTCACGAGGAAACTCCCGAGCTCAGCTAAGGACAGTGAACATATACTCCTCCAACACTGGAGTTTCACCCGTGACATGTTTCACGACTATTGCAAGGCGCGAATATCGCGTTTTTCACGGAGTTTTACGGCGCCACTTCACGTAAAACGGGTTGTGAAACTCCAACACTGATGACCTTACGCGTTCGAAATCGAATCCAAGGCTTCGAAAAAACATCCGATGTCCATCGCCTCTCCTGAAGGAGTATTCAGTCGAAATATTTCACGACATTCCTCCTCAGAAACCAACACCGGTGATAATTCGAGACTAAATAAAATAAAATAGAATAAAATAAAATTACCGCAACAATATGAACTTTCTCTTACTCTTTGCACATTTGTAAAAACGTATCCAATACGAGTTCATGAGCACAGTCATGATGACCTGCCAAATCAGAGATGACATAATGAACGATCGGGACATTTCACCATCGAAATGCTGTTTAGTGGCGTAAGCCAGGAAGAGCATCCTCGCCGCTGACCGGAAGCGTCGAAGAGCTTGATTGTCAACGATGGTGGTAGAAGCCATCACTGGTTCTGTAATACAGCAAGAGCATCTTTCAACAGAGTTTAACGCGAATGTAAATTATAAGACGTATATGTTTCCGCGACCGGTAACACATTTGTATGTCGCGAAGTGAATTGTGGGATATATTTTTCATATCATCACGAGTGAAATTCCAATAGGACTGTTCACTGACCAGTGATGGCGACCAGAGCCTGAGGACTGCCCCCTCCCTCTCCAGTGCTATGAATGAGTCTACGTCGACGTACTTCTTGCACACGTCGCTTGGCCTGACGAACGGCCATCGCGGCGATCTCCGCTGAATGAAAACGAAAAATTCGAAACGGCTTAGCGGAGCGAAGCAACCTTGTGTAGTTTCAGGATTCTTGATAGGCTTATTCCAGCGGTGACAGGCTCCATCACGTTCGACGTCTCTAAGACGATCCTCTGATGAGAAACGTCTCGTCAACCTCCACCACAACTCCTCTTACTCAATTCTATTATCATGCTACTGGCAGAGCCGACCTCCCCGGTATCTGAGGAATTACTTTTCTGAAAAGTTGGTATAGATTTTCTTACCGAGGAAATTCTTGATGGTCTTCAGCAGAGTTCGGCGAAAGGCCAGAAAATCAGCGTCAAATTCGTTGTCATCACCAACATGGTCCCCATCCGCCAAGACCAACCCCGAGTCCAACTTCGCCGATCCTAAAAAATCCGTCACTGCGCCACGAAATTCATCAGCTCTTACGACAAGCAAAGGTTGCCGACTGAAAGGTGCTGCTTGTTAGATTAGGACGCAGATCCATTCTGGAGACACCAAATCAAGTGTTACCAATTTCTCCATCTTGCTCACTTGCCAAATCTTGCATTTCCTCAACGCACTACCATTGCCCGTCTCAACTGATGTAAAACTCAATACCACTCCTTTATGAAATCATCATTATATTAAAGCTTAGCTCTCATAATTGACATCGTCACGCTCATATCAGCAACTGCCTTTCGCCACTTTCCTTGTACAGGATTCTCAACAGGCCTCTTTAATATCGACCCTCCAGCAGGTGGTCCCGACAGACGCTCGAAAACCAACCCTGCCCGACTTAGCCGTTTTATCATCTTTTCCGGATCAAAAGCATAACCCGGCGTAACAACTCCCCAATGGCCGTCAACACCTTCATTTTCAAGAAGCCCTACAGCGGCTTCGGAGACCATCAAAGCTGTTTCGTCGTAACCGGGATCACCACCACTTAGTTGCAACCAAAGATTTGCCCCCGACACACTAGTAGCATGAACGACGTATTTAAACCACGACCGTGTGCGAAGAAGAGGATCTGGACCTTGTCCCGGCTTAGGCAGCTTGCCCATTTCGATCAGTGATTGACGAACCTTCGGACTAGCAACAATGGTTTGCTTTTTTGCACTTTTTTCATCAGAAACGCACAGAGCTTCCCCATAGGAAAAACGCTGCCCTTTTAAACTGGCAGTTCGACGAACCACTCTCGTATTGATAGAAGCCATCCCGAATGGCGCCAGCCAACACCCGAGCGTTTCACTGGGACAAACCGGATGATCATCAACTTCAACTGATGACGACGTAGTAGACGGTCCTCCACCTAGGCAATAGAGATCGGATGCCTCAGGAACGCCGGCCATGGCAATCCCCGACTGGAGAGTCCCCCCACTAAACGTCCCTCGCATCGACACGAATGCTTCAGCGCTCGACAATGGAGCCTTTAGGATTTTCTCGGCGAAACCAACGAGGAGGTCGGCCGGCTGGGAGTCAAAACCACAAAAGTTGACGATGAAAGTTTTGTTCATTTTCGCTTTCTCGTGAAGGAGAAGGAGATCTCGAGCGACCCAGGGAGTTTCTCCAGTGATATCACAGTAGTGAGTGCCACAAGCGATGCAAACACGGACGAGGGGTGTTCCTAAATGGAAGAAATATGATAGTCGTAACAGTGT